TTAGGATATTTAGTAGGGATCAGCCGATACCAAGTATTTTGATGAATACTCCTGATATCTGAAACTGATACTTTATGGTGCGATTTGTGCCTGTACAAAATTGTATGGATGCAAATTGCACAGCAAAGAATAGCGTACAATTTGAACAGGAATGCAGTGTGATTCCTGTCCAAATCACATGAGGTTTCCCCACTGTTCCTGTGTAAACACAGACTTGTTACAGCCTAAGTTAACACAGGAGCAGTGCAGGAAATCTCCCTGCACCGATCCCATGCTGTCACAGAAGGAAAACCTGGGGATTTGAAATCCCTGTGGCTCTCTCTCCTCTCAGTGCTCCTCTCTCCTCTCAGGGGATGACAGTATGGGCTAGATGGCTTTTGATTGGCCAGCACCATCATGGTGCTGACCAGTCAGAAGCCATTTAGTCCATAACCTCATCCCTGCAAGACGGGAGACAAAGCCAAGGGAATTTTAAGTCCCCTGACCTGTGAAGCGGCTTTCTCTCCTCTCCTTGCAGGGATGATAGTACAGGCTAGACATCTTCTGATTGGTCAGCACCATGATGGTGCTGACCAATCAAAAGCCATCTAGCCCATACTGGTCATCCCTGCTGCACTGAGAGGAGAGAAAGCCGCAGGGATTTCAAATCCCCAGGTTTTCCTTCTGTGACAGCATGGGTCTGGTGCAGGGAGGTTGCCTGCACCGCTCCCGTGTTAGGCTATGACCAGCCTGGGTTGACACAGGAGCGATGGGGAAACCGCATTCGATGTGGACAGGTATTGCACCGCATTCCTGTTCAAATCGCATGCTGTTCTTTGCAGAGCAATTTGCGTCCATACATTTTGTATAGACGCAAGTCGCACTGCAAAGTATCAGTACTTGGTATTGGTGAATACTGGGCCGAAAGTATCGGTGCATCCCTAATATTTAGGATTGGGTTTTTTGTAAAAGAGATGGCCAAAACGTGTTTGGTCATACTTCTCATGTGTATCATAGGGATACAATTACTTTTATCCTGCTGATAGTGGGGATATTGCGTGCTTCATCTCCCCTGATGAAGTCACGTAGTGTGTGACGATACGCGTTGGGAGGAGCTAGGTGACATTAGAGCCAGAACACCGTCAGCACAGTAGTAGACACAGCTTGGTGTATTGTTACAGCTTTACCACTACTATTATACTGGGGCTTCTATTACTGCTACCATGTGAGTGTATTTTAATAAACTTCAATGGGTTTTAACAAATGTGCTGCACTATGGTCGCTTTATATGGCTGTTGAGGTCCACTCACAGAGCCAGCCATACAGCTAAAAGGTTGAAGGATCCTATTGTGTGCTTGCAGCTGTTGGTGAGGAGAGGAGGGAAGCCAGCAGCACAGAAGGAGAGGAGGAAAGCCGGTAGCACTGCGAGGGTGGGGCACACAGGGGGGCCTGGGCAGCAGGGGGGAAATGTATGGCACACAGGGAGGGTGATTGTGGGGGGGGGGGGATTCAATTACTGGAACCGATCCCCTGTATGGCTCTCTCTGCATCAGCTGAAAGCCAGTGGGAGAGAGAGGAGAAGAAGCTGGCTTTCAGCTGCTGCAGAGAGAGCCATACAGGGGATTAGTTCCAGTAATTTCCCCCCAGCTGTGTCAAACATCCTCCCTGCACACATCTGATTCAGCCAGCTGCCTGGGCCCCGTACAGGAAGACTGGTGGTACCCCCTTATCCACGGCCCTGCCCAAACCCATTATAGTTTCTCTTTGATAGGCTGTTGCACAATAAAAGGTAATGTACAGTATATGAATGTACAGTAAATTAAATGGGAAGTAACAAGACAATGTTTGGTATACAGGAAATGCCCAGGGACGGGGACTGTTCAGTAAATGGTAATGTACATTAAATGAAAGAGGCACAGAAAAGGTTTTAATGTGCAGTGAAAAGGGATTGCATAGCAAACGGCTTTTGTACAGTGAATGGAAAAGGCACAATAAACAGTCAGAGCCCATTCACACTATAGTGATCCATTGCCGTGTGCTACAACACACTCATTAACGTGCAATAATTCATGTTAATGTGAGTTACATTAAGGCAACATGTTACCTAGTATAGTTGTGCGATGGGGTGCTATTCTAAATTAGCCACATTACAAACACATCACAAAAAGATTGGTCACTGTACTGCATAGGTGTGAAGCCAAATAACCATAGAGGCTTAAAATGTAATTGGTATCGCTTGAAGTACAGAGTTTGCCCAATAACCAAAAAAAAGCATATAACAAAAGAATTGTGAATCAAGAATTCACTAGAAAAAGCAGTTACATAAAAGAAAACTGCGATATTCATATAGTTATAAATATATGCTTTACTAGCAAAATTGCACATGACCAGGGGCGGACTGACTATTTGGAAACTCGGGCGCTGCCCGAGGGCCCGGGGTCAGTAGGGGGCCCCAAGAGATGCCCCTGGTACGTTTTTCATAGGCTTTTTTGAGTTTGGGCAAGGACACAGGGGCCCCATGATCCCCTATTGCCCGGGGGCCCCATGAGTTGTCAGTCCGCCCCTGCACATGACAATTGAGTCAAGACTGAAAGTAGCCATCACTTCAGTTTAAGACAATACACTGAACAACCTTAAAACCAAAAAAGAAAAAGACATCATGGCAGGCCACATAAGTCATATTATGCTGTAAGAGCAGCGACTTACAGGTCTTTTGCATCAACAGCAAACACACATCAGGGTGCACCACCGTGGTGGGGATATACATGTAGTTGAAAAATAGCAATCTGGCTATACATCAATTATGAGCAATATACATATGAAACTCCAATAGAATTGGAAATAGGAGCCCAATCTGGAAATATATCTAGCACGGAATCAATATCAAATCAGTGGGTAACCATAACCGCATAAATATATATCTGGTAATGGTAAACAATAGACCACATATTATTGCTAGAAGACACAATCCTCAGATAAAGATAACAATGTTGAATGGTAAGCTTTCATAAGGCCGTAAGTATAACATGGTAATCCTTGAAGATATATGAACCAGCAGCCAGTGACAGATGGTAATTAGTAGTCAGCTGAATAAATAGTGAGTATACTCTACTAAGAGGTCCATGAGGCAACCACCGTCTGGAACATACATGACAGAGTCCTGCCTTTGTGAATATCCAGCTATCCATCAAACCTAGGCCAGAATGTGACTCACTACTCCTAAAGCAGGTGGAGAAGATATAATGTTCCTTAGTAGACTGTGTAAACAAGGTGCTAAGCACCAGCTGTAGAATAGACCATAATGTCCCCGTCCTGTAGGAGTGACAAGAAGAGAGTCAGTCAGGCTGCTGCCATGAGATACTTCTAACAACAGAGGCGAAACAGCCGTATATCCAGTTAGGTGAAAGAGAGGTATCACTCACCACCTGTTCAGTCAAGTAGTGACAGCATGGTGTTCCTCAAACTAATAAGTTCCATTCCAGGAGTCTCGGAGGCTACCGCCAGCTTCGGGAACCCTGATGGTCTGGCTCTGCTTCCTAAGGAGTAAATGTGATGATTGGTGAGTGCCTGAAGTGAGAGCGTAGTGCTCCGTGTTCCCACCAGGACTAGGTGCGTGGCGTTGATGCGCCGGCCAGCCATGATGTCAGCGCGTTTCGCCAATGTGTGCTGTTGATGCAAAAGACCTGTGAGTCACTGCTCTTACAACAATTTTGCTAATAAAGCATATTTTCATAACTACAGTATATGAGTATCATATTTGTCCTGTATGTAACTTCTTTTTCTTGTGAATTCTTGATTCACGATTCTTTTGTTATAGGTGTGAAGCCAACCTTAAAGCCCACACTTGGGAAAACAAAAATGCTCCCTATACAGTAGGGCTGCCCCTGCTTTACAAGGGTTAAACAGTAATTTAGATTTAGGGGGGCACACAAAGATGTTTTACTTTTTGTGCTGCTCTTCTGGCAGCCGGTGGTCTCCTCTACTTCCCTACGCTGCGGCAATGGACTTTCCCTTTGCATCCTCATGCCCAGTTCAGGGCTTATAGGCTCTATATTGGACTTGCTGACATCAGAGGACCTGGGACTACCGGAGCACATGGGCGGAGAAGCTGTGGAGCCCGGTCTTACAGGCAGGAGAATTGGGCAAGTAAAACTAAATTTTTTTCCTGGTCCCCTAGACCTAAACAAGCATAAAACATTTGCAGTGTGCGGACAGCCCCACAGCAAGAGAGGATTTTAATCTCCCTGAAGTTTGCATTTTGTTAGAGCATCTCCTAACCAAGCCCCTCTTCCCAGTCTTTCCCTAGCCTTATATCCATAGATTTAGTTTGTTCAGCTTTCGTGTTTAAAGAAAGAAGTATAACAGATGTCTCCATCCACGCTACACAGCATGCTGTCTGCTCTCAGAATACCTGCATCTGATTGGTGATTTAAAATTGAAACTCCACAATGCAAAAAAGTATCCAAAGTGTTTTGAGGGTCCAAGTTTAAACAAAATTGTTAATGGACCTCTTAGTGGTGTGAAGCTTCAATTTCAATTCTCATTACATTACACTACAAGCCAAGAAGACTGTGGAGATCCTCTGGGGTGTAGAAGTCGCCTGCCAAGGAACCAGATCATTTACATCAACGTTTGGCCAACAAGTTTTTAATTGAAGGATGTCAGATGAAGTGGTGCCGACAGGGCCACCCAGTGATCAAACTGTGGCTTCTTCATAACAAATCTAAAAAAAATTGCCATCTTTAAACCCATTGTCCTCAAACCAGCAATATATAACTCACTAGATCAATAGGACTTCTCAGTCAGGATCACATAATCCCATCCATTCTTATAGACGTCCGAATAGAAGCTTATTGTCAGATGTCTATAGGAATGAATGGAATTGCAGATGGCCAGAAAGATCTAATCTGGCCAATCTAATCAGCAATATCTCATGTTAAATATTGGTCAATATTTACAGAGAAATTATTTCCTATACAGAGATTTCATAATAACTAAATTTTTTTTTTCGGCCTCCACAGATCAACAGGAATGTAGGGAGAAAGTGACAGAAAAGGTCTTACAACTTTATGATTCTCCTTACCATGAGCGATACAAGTCTCTCCCGCATGAAAGCTGCCAGCCATCTGTGGATGAAAGACCAGCGGATGAATATGACCAACCCTGGGAGTGGAAGAAGGATGACATCAGCCGAGCATTTGCAGGTAGAAAAGACTGGAAAAGTAATACAGCACAAGGAGCTCTACCATACAGTAATCCAGAGCAGTCAGTCTACCAACTGGATTTCCACTTTTTGCAGTTCATTGTACATACAACTATTTCCCTAATGGGCTAAAGGAAATCTACTGTATATTCTAATCAAAGCAACCATGTTAGGTAAAACTGGAACTGAAAGGTCCCTGCAAAAGCAGAAGTAGTATACTTACCTCTCCATCCCCTAGCACTGCACCAAAGTTCTGGACCTGACCCTCTCCTCCAGCCTCTATGACACTGTTGACCTTAGACATTTTCAGTCCTTTGTAGTGCATTACTACATGCACATTAATGTGATTTATACATGTGTAGAGGGACCCCCTTAATGGAACCTGCTGAAAAGATGATGATGATGATTTGGGTTCTCTATTTGTACAGAGGCTTCCAGCACACCAAAAACACATGCCTAAGCACACTGACACAAGAAAACGGTTTGGGGAATGTCTTTTTATGGTTTATTGCTAGTGTAACACTACCCCCTTAAGAGTTGCTGAGTTTTGGGTCCCCCTATAGTCCTGCACAGCCAGGCAACATGCATTTTCTTCCACACTTGCACACTGGAGACAGTAAACAATCCTTGAGCTTGTTTTTGTGATTTTATTAAGGGATCAACAACTTGGATGGGGTTGAGGGATGACAAGGGAATTGTGAGGACAACTTCTTAGCAACTATGTCCATTAGACAAAAAGCCTATTCTTGAAGAGCTCTCTAGCCCTCCAGGTGTATCACCTCAGACCCCAGATGAATCCTCCTCTTCACCCAGCTGCTTTGGAGAATCCCTGGGCAATGGGACCCAGAAACTGCCACTATAGCAAAGCAGCCCAAGATGAGGATTAAGTTAGGTTCTCCACCTGACGGCCTTCTCCACTTATCCAGCCCCAGGGATGTAGGGTTACTCACTCTGCCTCTGCTGTAAGCTTTCTGGGTGGATGGCTGCCTTCAGACCTTATGCTGGGCTGGCTCCTTCCCTGCTTCCCAGGCTGTTCTCTCTCAAGGGACGGTTGAGGTAGAGAGATCCTCCTGTCCAGCACCTGATTGTAGGTAGGTGGCTCCCTGGGCCCCCTCCCAGGCTCCACACTCCATCTTCCTGATCAGCCTCTCTCATACTTAAGGGATGTCCTGACCCTATGCCAAGTCTCTTGCAGATCAGCCCCTCACCCCCACCCACTGCCTTCTAGAAACTTATCAAGCTTCTAAAGCAGGGAGAGGTATCAGGGAACTGACCTGCAGAGCCCTCAGCCCTGACCTAAAGCTAACCAGGCTGATTCATCCCAGGCTGCTATCCAGCCTCTAACTAAAAAACCTAGATAGCTCACCCTGGATAACTAGAGAGGTACTACGCTAGTACTTGAACAATGGGAGAGGATTCAGGGATTGGGACTGTATATTTCAATAAGAGGGCACTCTCTTCTGTACTACACTCCTCAATAATAGATCTCCTGCTAAACGTCAGAATACAGTTCCCCTTGAGAGACTAAGGGAAGGCCAGAGGTAGAGACCCTATGAAAGAAGAAACACTTGGCTCAGATATCCCAATAGTACACAGTCACCGGGATCTCATAGGACATTCAGTACTCATAAGGCCAGAGAGCAGCTGTGCCCCATCAGCTTCTCCCAGATGCCTTCTCACGATGCTTTGCCCTCGTGATGCCCTTTTGTTTCACCCCCCGTATAGTGCCCTTTTTGTTGACTAGCCTAAAGCCGGTCATACAGGGATTGAATTCCGAAAGATCTTTTCTAAGAATTTTCATTTGAATTTCGCACCATAAGTGGGTCACAAAACGGCCGATTTTCCTGTTACCATTGAGTCTGAATGATTGGGCATGTTGAAAATTATTTGAAAAACAAATGAATTTTGAATCAATGATGGAAGAATCGTGCGAGAAATATAAAAGGAAAAAGAAATGAGCATGACCTGGTAAGAAAAGAAAATTCTTGGTCACGAAAATTCTTTTCTTTGGCAACATGACGTGAAATTGAAGGCTTGATTGGTTGAATTTCGAAATCAATGGTGGCGCCATCGGATTCCAAAAAGCACTAAAATGTCCGATTTTCTAAAGAAAATTTGTTAGGAATTCGACCCATGTATGGCCTGCATTTGAGTTATAGTATATTTTCCTATTGTTTAAAATTGATTTTATTAACAGTACAAATAAATATATGTTCAATTCGATCAACTATTTATACTGTAATTCTTGAGAGTAGGCGCGTAAATTGGGGCAGGGTGGTAGGGGCCCCAGTATATTATATTGCCCAGGGGCCCATGATGCTATTAAGACAGCCCTGCTCATCATCTCCCGCTAGTACACCGCAAATAGTCCAATCATTAGAAATTATGTTTGAAATCGGAGGAATCAGGCTATTTATTGCAATTTTAGTTAAAGGGTAACTACATTTTTGTGGGGAAAAAAAGATAGCGAATAAAAAATTAATAATATAGCAAACTAAATATGGACCTCAAATCATATTGTAAATTACTTTTGAAAAGGAAAGGTAATTTTGTAATAATCTGCAGCGCTGTAATTTTCCGTAAAATGCAATATGGCAACTTGGAGGAGTTCTGTGCACAGATGGTGTACAGAACGCCCCCTGAAAATGTAATTTCCTGCTTGTGTGATTGGCTCACTGATTTTCCCAGACATCTGCACTAAGCCAGCCATACACAAGTTGAATTCTGAAAGGCATTTTCTTTGGAAAATCTTTTCTAAGAATTTTCGTTCAAATTTCGCACCATCAGCAATGGCTGATTTTCGAGCGACCATCAAATTTGAGTGATTGGGCATGTTGGAAATTTTTTGAAAAACTAACAAATATCTAAAAAATGATGGGAGAATCGTGAGATAAATGTAATCCAAAAATAAATGAGCTGTGAGCTGGGACCTGGAAAGAAAAGAACATTTTTGCCCACTAAAATTCTTTTCTGTAGCAACATGATGTGAAATGAAAGGCTTGGTTGGTAAAATTTCGAAATCAATTGTGTGACCATCAGATTACAAAATGCATGAAATTTCCAATTTTCGAAAGAAAATTTGTTCGGAATTCAACCCATGTATGACCTGCATAAGATACAAGTCAGATTTTTGGCATCCCCTGCAACAAAAATATAATTTTATTGAAATACTCTCAAATGGAAATCACATCCTAAAGGGATGCAGATCCTGCAATTTTCCTCATTAGAGCCCTGCAGGTACAGCAGCTGATTGATCATTATAAAACCACTCCCATACAGATTCACTCTGCACATGGACACAGAGAAACAAACGGCCATATTTTCAGAATAACAAAAAGGTAGGAATCTGCAACAACGTTTGAAAAAATCCTTGCAATGTAGCTGGATCATCCAGAGGGGAATGTTTTTTTCTCAACAAAAGTAGAGTTACACTTTAACAACCCATCTATTGAGATTGAAAGGGTTAGTTCCTTTCTACCAAAAAAGCCTATGAAGATAAAGGGTGTCTGTAGATAAAAACAAGCTGTGCAATGCTGACTAAATTTAAATAATGTCCTTGCTATAGGCCATTTCCATACCTCATGAAGCCTGACTGGAATACTCCCTGGGTGTTGCTAGGATGTTGCTAAGTGAGGCATAGTCATTAATGTTCACCTCCACCATCACAGGAGTGAGCTCTCAAACAGCGAGCTCAGAGTTACTTCACAAGGAGAGAAAAATAGCATGGGGGGGAATCAGAGAAAAAGCTCACTCCTGTGATGGTGGCGGTGAGCGGTAACAACTAGGCCTCACTTAGTACCATCCTAGCAACATCCTGGAAGTATTGCCTACACCTATAAGAGGGGCATTATTCAAACGATAGTCAGAGCTGCAGTTTGCTTTTATTTATGGACAACCCTTATCTGCATAGTAAAGGTGAACTAACCCTTTAAGGGGTTTTTTTTTTTGCACTTTTACTGCCACTAGGTATTTAAAGGCCAGCATAATTTGCCCCACTTCCTCTGAGCCCAGGTCATTCTGAACACACCCCAGTCTGGTACTGGACAGTGAAAGGAGAAGCAGCGGTCAGCTGTCATTTCTGAACCAATGAGCTGGGGATGGAGGTTGCTCCCCATGTGGCCATATAAGGTCAATGATGTCATAAGCATCCCCGCCCCTTTGTGTTCCCAGCTGCAGAGCAGGGAACTGTCTTCTCACCCTATCAGCATGTGAACGGATTGTGCGGTTTCCTTCTCTCACACTATAGCCATGCTGTACATGGACTGCAAGAGGTTAATGTCAGATCAAAATCAGCAACTTACACTGCGTGCATTTAAAAAATACATTTACTGATGTCATAAAGATTACAGAACTGCATTACATCTGTGCCTTATATGTCTGCCTAGAGGTCATCTATAAAAAATTGCCAGCTGGTTTACCTAATCAGTGTTTCCAAAATCCGATACATTCACCTTGGATGAAGCGACTCTTCAAGTTTTACTCTGTCATTTGCTTTTAGTGCAGTTTGAGGGCTCTGGATGGCAATGCGGATCTCCCCATATGAGGGCGCGCCTTCTACAGTCCACTCCAAGGAGCCCCGTGAATCTGCGGCCGTCTAGTCCTGACCTTACAGCAAACCAAAGGGAGCATGGCTCACCGCCCAAAGAACTCGATTGTTCAAGAGTGAGGAAGCCCATTTGTGCCGATCTGCAAAGACATGAGTGAGTGTTCCACCTGGATTCCACCTGTATTTGTGCATAATGACAGGTTCATGATTACTGTAATAACTCCTAAAGTGTATCTGAACCCCAAAAAGAAAAGTGTTATATATTGCAGCGTAGCAGTCCTTAGAGTAGTGACTGCGGCCATTTTCTTTTTATAAGCATTTTTCCCTTTACTGGCAGTTTTGCCAGTGACACATTTCCTGTCCTAAGGTGATAACGCTCACTCACTGTACTGCGTCTATGGAGGGCAGTGTTGTCACTTTAAGACAGAATATGGCCGGATCTGGGGGGGGGTGGGGTGCTGGGGAGAGCGTTGCCCCCCCCCAAATTTTAGTTGTGCCCCCCCCCAAAAAAAAATCAACCTTAATCTGCCACTATAATGCCCCAACTTGACATAATACCACCCTACTTTACCGCCTTAGTTTGACATTATACTGCCCTAGCCTGACACTGATCTCAGTTATACATTGTTTGGGGAGGTGGAACTCTGCTGCTTGTGCCAAGGCTGTGTGCAGTGCAGAGATGAGGGAAGGCGCTGTGCCCCTATCCTGTGACCTGCCAACAGTGACCCTTGTCCTCTGCCGTGCCAGCAGTGACCCCTGTTTTCCGCTCTGCCATGCCAACAGTGACCCCTGTCCTCTGCCCTGCCAGCAGTGACCCCTGTCTTCTGCCCTGCCAGCAGTGACCCCTGTCTTCTGCCCTGCCAGCAGTGACCCCTGTCTTCTGCCCTGCCAGCAGTGACCCCTGTCTTCTGCCCTGCCAGCAGTGACCCCTGTCTTCTGCCCTGCCAGCAGTGACCCCTGTCTTCTGCCCTGCCAGCAGTGACCCCTGTCTTCTGCCCTGCCAGCAGTGACCCCTGTCTTCTGCCCTGCCAGCAGTGACCCCTGTCCTCTGCCCTGCCAGCAGTGACCCCTGTCCTCTGCCCTGCCAGCAGTGACCCCTGTCTTCTGCCCTGCCAGCAGTGACCCCTGTCTTCTGCCCTGCCAGCAGTGACCCCTGTCTTCTGCCCTGCCAGCAGTCACCCCTGCCTTCTGACATGCCAGCAGTCACCCCTGTCCTCTGCCCTGCTGACCTCCCATCCTTGGCCCCCCCCCCTGACATTTTTTTACTGTACCCCAACACCAGACACAACACTTTACCCTCTTCTCATCATTACATAGGAGAAGGCATACTGTAGTGTATAAATTCATACTAGCAGCCTGTTGGTTTCTTCTGGGTGTTGTTTAAGCCGCTTGTCACTGAACACAGGGGGTCGATTACGTTGCACCTCCACCATTCAGAGAACCTCTTGTACTTTTTTTATGAATTGTCTTATGTTGTAAGTGGTGATGTGGTAAGATAAAAGATTGTGTGATTGATGTCTCCAACTCTTATCTTGTTTCCAGGTGGTTTCATGGACCTCTGAGCTGCACCGATGCGGAGAAACGGTTACATAAAAGTGAGCCTGGAAGCTTCTTGTTGCGCACAGAGGCTGAAAGCATGTTTTTTCCTTTCTGTTAGGTAAATGTCAAGTTTTTGTTAAATGCTGGAGAGTTAATTTATTAATTTATATGTCTATAGCACTTTTTCTGCTGTTGGGGATGCTTTCGAGGCAGTCGCTGGATCCAATTAACCAACTAGTATGTCTTTGGAGTGTGAGAGGAAACCCACACATGCACAGGGAGAACATGTAAACTTCATGCAGATAACATCCTTATCGAGACCCAACCTGAGGACCCGAGTGCTGAATGGTAGACTTGCTAACCACTAAGTCATTGTTCCGCCCCACGTGAAAATTGTTTGTATGCATGCTGATGAGGTCTCTTTGCCAAGTTCCCGAATTTGCACACCTGTTGAGGCCATTATATTGGGGTTCCCACTCTGTCAGAGCTTTTATTTTCTTTATGCCAGAGAAAATGTAACAGGAGGAGCTGGAACACACAAAGGGAACACCCAAAACTTCCAGGTAGAGACAGAGTTAGGAAAAGTTGAAAAGTAAGACTTGAAATGCACTCAACCTACATGCTTAGGGTTCTGTTTTTCATTCAGATATTTCCTGTAGAGAACCAGTCCATGCCTATAAATTTTGTTGGTAATCTGGTTACCTGGGAACCCCTTCTGCTTACTTATTTGTAGTGAAGGAAAATCATTTCTAAACACACCTATAGCAAACTCCTTGCTGCCTCTCATATGCAGACAGCGTGATCTATCAAAGATTGAGACATATAGTGAGTCTGTTGATATAGGAAGATACATAGCAAATGCATACCTGTAAAAAAGGAAAGTAAATACAAATTTTTCCCACACATGTAGATCACAGCTATGCTTCTGGAGAACACCTGGGCAAATTGTGGCCCAGGGCCCCATGCTGGGTTTGGCTGGCCTTATCTGGCCCTCAATGCTTCCACTGTCAGAATGACTGGCTCTCTGAGCTCACAGAGGAACACTGACAGATGTCCATGTGGAGAGCTACAAGAACTGGAAGGAGAGAACCTTAGGAGTTGATCGGTCCAGCTAGGAAGCTTGGTTCTGGTGGAAGTGCATTGCCTAGCAGACATCCTGATGCTCTTCCGCCACTCTGCTACCTGGTCAAGTTCTTCTTGTGTTGGCGCCTGCATGCTGCAAACCCTTTTGCTTTTCAGAGGGCATTTGAGATGCAGTGAGGAAGTGTTATGTTGCCTCCACACCGCCTGATTTAACCCTATAATGCCTCACTACCATGCACCATTGCACGCAGTTGCAGCACAGCCCTATTAAACTCAATAGGTAAGTTTGACAAGGTGTGCTGCTGCCAAAGATAAAAATGCCACAACCGCAGCATGTGAACGGCCCTGACTGGCTGAAATTTTACAGTGTGGGTGGGCAGCCGGAGGTGGTAAAACCGCAGCTCAGTCGTCTGACCACCCAACTGAAAGAGACCTATTTTATCAGCAGTTGTACCTATTATTTCTAGTGCCAGTGTTTTTTTTTTTCCTATGTTTATTTACGTCCAGGCTTTTCCTTTCCATGTCCAAATTTAATCTTGATCAGAATTAAGTCAATAGTTCCAGTTTCTCTTGTGGCCCCTTGGGAAAATTAAATGCCCACCCTTGTCCTAGAGTGTCGATCTCTGCGGTCCCCTTCAGATCTCAATAGTTTTTACATCTCACCTCATGTCACTGCAGGAAAGAATGGTCAGAGGGAGAAACCAGTGAGAACTGCGGGGGACCAAAAAGAAAAATGATATTCCCTATCAACTTTGGGTGATGATTTCTTAGGTACAGAAAGGAGATTGCCGGTATGGGTAGTGGGAAAATGTATTAACTGTCTTTTCTTACAGATATGCCTTTGTTGAGCATGTTCTGCATAGCCACAGGGCTGTATTAGGCAGTTATTTAGAGCCACCAGTTAACTTCAACTGGTCTTAGAAGGTTAAATGTGATGGTGTTCCAATGAGCAGAGAAAGAGGTAAAACAACATGCCCCAACTTCACATGCGAAGAGCTCTCAGGAATCGACCAGCCATGGATTATAATGTTTCTTGGAGAGCATTCATTAATTCAGTGATTGGGTTTATTTGTTGCCTGGATTTCAAGACACCCTGGCCATAGATGAACACTTGTGCCCTTGAGCATGACAGATGGAGAGGTGCTTGCCTGTCCTCAAACATGTTGCCATCTGCCAATATGTTTTCTGTGACTCAGCTGTTGGCCAAAGGCCTCCTTTATTCTACTTGGTTGTAGAGAGACTTTTCAACAGGCCAGTTGGAGGCACTCATTATCTTCCCCAAGTGTACCCATTCGCAGTTCACATCAGGCTGTTGAATCGGGGACAGGTTTGGGTGACTTGGTATGAAATATTTTGCCTGTAATCTGGTGATAACCAATAAATGGGATAACGTTTAGACATTCCCAAACAGATTGTTTTTGCTTGTCTAATTATTATGGCCAGTCTTAACCTATAATTTTCTTACAACACCCATTTAGCAAGGATGCTGTTTGCACTGACTTACAGATAGCCACCAAAAAACAGCACTTTAAAATCTGTATATGAAACATCTTTATAAAAGAATGGCACAGAAAGTGTTCAACTTGTAAAAGTTATGTGTAATCCCTGCCAGATATTACACCCTCATTTATTCTTTTATCTCCACAGAGGCCGGAGTAGCATCTTGCACGTTAAAGTGATTGTCATGCCAGATGGCCGTTTTATGCTTGGCGATAGTGGACCAACCTTCCCCTGTATCCCAGACATGGTACAGCATTATATCCAATCTCCACTGTTGTTCCCAGGGGAGGGACAAGTGTGTCTTCAGCATCCAGTGTCTGCAGTATTACAGTGATGTGTTTTAACCCAACGGTGAATCGGACTGCATTGGCTAAATAAAAAGCACAGGCCTTAAAGTCTACATCGATGGAAGAAGCATAAATGGACCAAAATGGGATCATCTATGGCAAACTTGATATTTTAGTGGACCTTTAAAATGCTTTGTACCAAAGCAACAACTTGTTCTTCATCTGCACGTGATGTTTGGTAACAGTTGAGCCATTTTATTACATTGGTGACTGTACCTCCAGCTTGGAATGGTGAATAGAAAGATCTTGATCAATCAGTAGCCCAAGGGTTGGCTGCGTCCTTCAGAATTATTATGGCTTTCCATTTGTGACAGTTCTTGGATCTGCAGGTTACATTCATGGTATCGAGCACCATTATTATGCAATGATTTTGAAAGCACTGGTCTAAGTATTTTTCTCCTAGCTTTAGCAGATAGGGTGAGTTGCTTTACAACTGCAGAGCCTCCTGCTGGTGAAATCTGGTACTGAAGTGTGACTTTAAAATACTATTGTTTGCTGTGATAACTATCCTGTCTTAATGGCCTGATTTCGGTCTACCAAATATGATA